AATAGAGATGTCAGTAACCACAGTGTAGCAGAGGATGCCTCAGGAGGAATGCAGATTCACCAAATCTAAGTCAGATCAAGGTTAGACTTGAAGATGAAGAGGGTTAGTTGGAAAGAAGTAGGAAAGTCTGAAAGAGAAATAACCAGATAAAAGAACAGGCTAAAAGGAGCATATGTGTTTATACATGCAAAAGTCTGAATGACTGAACTGATGCTTTATGGAGCGAAGGGGCAAAAACTGAGAGCAGAAAGGATGTGCTAGCTTCCCATTGCCTCTACTTAAAACAAAACTCTACAAACCTAGAGGCCTCAAAGCACAAACTTCCTTCTAAATCATTTCTAGAGGAGAGAAGTTTAATGAATCATATGGATCTAAAATCAAGGTGTGAGCAGAGGCAGGTTTTTCTACAGGGTCCAGGGTAGAGACTAATCCTTGTCTCTCAGTTTCCAGGGCTGCTGGTACCCCTCAAATCTCTGTTATTTATAATCTTGTGGCTTTCTCCTCTCCTGCAGCCAAACCTCTCTGGGACACTTGGGATTATAATTTGGGTCACATTGTGACCACTTGTGTAGCCCAGGACAATCTCTCCATCTGAAGATCCTAACTTAATCCTATCTGAAAAGTTTCTTTTGCAGATATAACATCCATAGACCACAAGGATTTGAATGTGACTATCTCAGGGGGTTATTATTTTACCTCACACAACAAGTATTGAATATATTTTTATATATAAGTATTTAATATAGTTTTAAGCAGGAGAGTGACACAATAGACTTAGGGAAGTTTGCCCTGACAGCAACCTTGTGGAAGAAAGATCAAGGGATAGAGAAGTCACTGGACAGCCAAGTCTTTAATAGTCTCAGTAAAAAGATGATGAGGCTTTAAACTGAGAAAAGGGCTTGAAAATTATAAGAAGGAAGTGACATGAGAGATTTTACATCTAAACCAAGAGGGCCTGATGACTGTTTGAATCTATGGACTGAAGAGAAATAGACATCTAAATATACTCAGATCTCTGGCTAGAGTAAGCGGTAAATAATGATGATATTGACCTTGAGTTGATATATAAGAAATAAACACATTTATTGGTAGTGATTAGAACAGAGGAGGAGCAAAGGGAGCCAAGAACAAATGATTTCCTCACGGATCAATTGGGTTGCAGAGAGCTAGAGGATATCTCATGAAGATAACCAGCAATTCAGTCAGAAGTTGATGATGTATATAATCCTTGAAACTTACTGAAAAGGTCTGTCCTAGAACTCAATCAGATGGTATTAACATTTTGTATGAGAAAGTATGAATGCCAGAAAAAAAGATACAATTGATGCTTGTTCTGAAAGCCTTATATGGGATGCAAAGAGGGGACCATAAATGAAAGCCAAGGAAACTCCAATACCAGGATTTCACACAGGGTAAAAGTAGTGAAAGGCTTCACGGAAAGAAAAATACAGGTAAAGAATCAAAAGAGGATGGGTCTTGAAAGGTGAGGAAAAGGAGAAATCCAAGGAAGCATTTGCTGCAGTACAGGGAAAGCACTGTTCGAGAAATCACTGACAGACCACCACTTCATTTCCCTGAAGACCTATGAATCAATGAGAGAAATATTAACAATTTAGATATGTAAGCAAATGTATGAATAGTCAACAGGAAAAAACACAAATAATACTAAAATATAAAAAACTTCATCTCCTTCATGGGATAAATTCAAAATATATTAAGATGAGATGTCTACTTAATCATATGGACAAAATTAAAGTCGTTGATAACACTATTAGTGGCAGAGAGATGAAACAGGCATTCTTTATTTCTGTGTGTGTGTGTGTGTGTGTGTGTGTGTGTGTGTGTGTGTTTCCTTTTTATTGGTACCAGGGATCGAACTCATGACTGCCTGCTTGCTAGGCAGGCACTTATGCCGCTGAGCTAAATCCCCAGCCCCAAAACAGGCATTCTTAAATTGCTAACTGAAGCATTATAAACTTGATAACTTCCTTGAAATGTGATTATATTATGAAGCAGAGGTTTTTTGGTTGCGTGGTTGGTCAGTTGGTCAGTGGGTTGGTTGGTTTAGAGTTGTTGGGGTTTAAACCCAAGGACTTGCACATGATAGACAAGTGTTCTCCCAGTAAGCTACAATCCCAACAAAAGGTAGTTTTCAGAATTAATTCAGATTAGATGAATCCATGCGTGTAGTTACTTCATCATAAGGATTAGTGTCCTTAGAGGAGTCATGAGAGAACTTGCTTCCCTATTCACTGTGTAAGGACACAGGAAGAAAATATCCTTCTTTCAACCAGAAAAGACCATCTCTAAACACTGGGTTTGCCAGAGCCATGATATAGGGCTCACAGCCTGCAGAACCTTGAGAAAAAAAGACCTGTTACTTTTTATAATAGTATATGCTAAGAAAGTAGACAAAATAGAGGTCAAACAATGCCAAGAGTCTTATAAAAGTGTCCACATGTGACATCACACCAAGAACCAAGCCCTACCAATAAATACAATCACTGAAAATAGGGATGTAAAACTATCTGGATAAGATTTAAAAGAAAATCATTGTAAAATGATTCCAACAGAAATTACAAACTCAAATAATTACAAAATTGAAAATCTAAGCTAGCCGAAACAAGATATAAGGAAAAACTAAAAGGAAACTTTAGAAGTGCAAGTACAACAATCAAAATTAACTACACAATCAATGGACTCAACCCAGAAGAATGGCAGGGACAGAGTAAATGAAAACAAAACAGCAGAAATTTCCCAATCTGAGCAACAGACAGTGTAATAGACATTTTGTTTACTATCCAGTATTTATGTGACTTGTAGGATTATAATAAAACATTGAAAAGTCATGTCACTGAAATTCTAGAAGGAAAAGAGAAAGCGGGTACATCTGAAAAATAGATAAAAGAAATACTGCTGAAGACATCCCAAATTTGCTTAAAAGGATAAACCCACAGATTCAGAAGGCAAGTGAATCACAAAATAAGTGCATGCATGTAAACACACACACACACACAACCACAATAAAAAAAACACAAATTTCAGATAATTAAAAGAAGAAAACTATCTTGAAATTAGAGTCAGAGAAGTGACATCTCATATAGTGGAACACAATGTGAATGACAGCTGATTTCTCATTAGAAAGTATGGGGTCAGAAGGAAATGTGATGCTTGTCAAATAAAAGAAAAAAAGAATTGCCAACTAGAAATGGAACACAGGACGTTCTCAGATGAAGGAAAGCTATGAATTTGCCACCAAACCTAACCCTAACCCAAAAGCACAATAGCTGTTGTCTGCTAAACAGAAAGGTAATGATAAAACAATGAACATCAAGAGGGAAAAGATATAGCAAAATTATGGGCAAATATCACTCCACTCTAGTGTTCTCTAGGTTATGTTTAATGATAAGAAAAGATGTCTCATGTGAGACTAAGATGCATGTAAGGAAAATTCTGTAAAAAATTGTATTGTAAACAAGGGGAAGTAAAGAGACACCAAAGGAGGAATTTTATATAGTTTAGGGCATCAAGTAAGATGCCATGTACTGTAGACAGTGACAAGTTACATATGTGCAGTACTGCTGTTACTCCCCACAAAACAAAGTACTTATGGCATAAATGTAACAAAATAAAGTATTCGTATGCTTACAACTACACAACGCTAATAAAGTAAAATCTAGATAAAGAGACATGCCAAATTCATGCCCTAGAATGATAAATATACTAATGATTTCAAACCTCCTCAAAGTGATATATACTTGGGTCCAGCCCAAGAACAGCTGAACAATCTCAACAAGGAAGAATAAACAGAAAAGATTAGTTACTCTTTCATGTTAAGGTTTGTAGACAGCTACAGGAATGAAGACAGGTGGAACTGGCAGTGTCAGACGCATGGAACAATGGAAAGGAAAGAGAACCCTGAAAAAGACCCACATGAATACACCAATGGATATAGGAGAAAGCCTTAAACTGAGATAAGGACTGAGATGCCATTTGATTTTGTGAAACCAAAGTGGAGGAGCAGAAATAGTCAGATAAAGAAAAATGGGCCACTGATGAGAGAAAAACCTCACAAGAGAACCTTGAAGAATAGATGAGCTTGAGCCTCAGAACTATCCCTCTGCTTTCCAGAAGAATTTATGCTCTGTTGCCTATTGGCCAGTTGGGAAGAGGTGCCCTCAGCAGACCTCTATTCCCCTGCCTCCTGGGCAACACCTAAAAACCTACAAGTACAAGGCACCAACAGCATCTGCTAAAGCAGCAGGTCTGATTCTGGAGCAGAGTGTCAGCAAAAGCCCCAAACTACAGGAATAAGACATCCACAAATATATTTTTTTATCACTAATAAATATATTCCCCCACCCAACTTGCCTCACCCTTTGAATTTTGCTTATTTCAGGACGTGAGATGAAAGGAGATGCTGTCACTGCTTTTCAACACCCCTAACCCTGATCCTGATGGATCTTGAAACTCTAACTAGCAACGCTCATCTTAAATGTAAAATTCGCCTTTATTTCCCCCAAACCCTCTAATCCTGACCCTTACACCAACCTTACCCCCAAAACAAACACAAACATAAGTCCCAGCCCTAACCTTCACTTTCCCCTTGCCTATAACAACTGGCTCCTTCTAGATTATGAATCACATATTCTTGCCTCATTAAACCCTGTATTAGTTAATGCACCTGGTAAATGGCATATTTTGATGCGTTGAGCCCTGATTTTTGTTTCCCCAGGCTGGCCTGAAATTACCACTGTCTCTCTTGCAGGTTTCAGACTCTGAAACATACACTCAGACCCTTCAATGTTGAATTAACCCACAACTCCTAACTCTGCAAGGGCATAGTTCAACAGTCAGCCAAATATTTGGGAAGAATTTGCACAGATGTTTAAAGACTTGGTCCCTCCAAGACTGCTTTCCATCCAGGATTTCTCTCCCACCTTTCTGGATCTTCTGCTACTGTGGACTCTCTTCCTCCTCTGTAGACTTTACTTCCCGTTAGTTACTCTCCGGTGCCATAAGACAGCTCTTTCATAGATATATTTTATCATTGTTGTGTGTGGAAAGTTTAGATCAACCAAACTACTTTATCCTTACTAGAAACTTAATTTCTAGAATCAAATTTAGCTGGTCATGTGGAACTCCTCTTGAACCACCAGTTTGAGGGGGTGACAACATATCAGAAGCAAATGTCAGAGGAGTGTAAGCTACGTTTTTATACACCACCTGTCCTTCTTGACCTCCTCCAGAGCGGTGTCTGCCATTTCCTCTAGGGGTGAATTACTACTGTGTATTACTAAGGCATGTAGAGCAGCCAGGTTAAGCCACTCTTTTTCCAGAAAGGAACTAGAGGAAGTCCAAAAATGTTTTATTAGTGAAACTCCCTGCATAGGGTAAAAAATTTTGGAGGATTTAAAGAATTATCTCTCCCAGTGTCAACAAAAGGCCCAATGCAATACAGGTACCAATTAAAATTGTATGCCATAAAGAGGACTGAACTCTGACCTCTAACCTGCTTCTCTGTAGGTCTCCCTTTAATTCAGTGGAACACTTCTTCCCCAAGGGTATCTTGATTCATTGACCTTGTCACAAGCCCGCCAACATGGTCTGAAATTCCCAAAGAAAGCAAACAGGTGAAGAACGCTGAACCACCAGAAAAAAACATATTTTTAAGTAACTCCTACGGTAATAAATACTGTGAATGTCAGACAAGAAACATGGAAGAACAAAGCATGGAAAATATGATTTAGCCACATTCTTGCCAGATTCAAAGACACTTTTTAGGTCCCTTATGTTATAAATGAATCTGTAAATAAACATAGAAAAAGTTGAATAGACAGTGTTCAGTTTCAGGTTAAACACAGATCAATCTTGGGACCTATTAGCATATCAAACCCTGAATATTTTGCCACTTTTCTTGATGCTGGGAAAAGAAACAGGAAAAGAGGAAGAACTGGCACAGGGAGAGAGAGAAACAGGGAAAGAGCAAGCCAGACCATGATTTAATTGACACGGCAGATTTCATCACCTTTCCAGTTCTCCTTAGCATACTTGTGTTTCTTTATATTGCAAGCTCAGCACGTGCTCTTGGGAGACACAGTGACATCTCCTGACAAACCCTGTGTCCCCCGTTTGGCCACCTCTGTGGCTTGCCGGTCCTTACTGTCCTTCCTCATGGGTCAATAGATTTCTGTCATTCGTACCATCAATTTCAAAACTAGCTTACATCTCCCTAAAATGCTCTGTTAATTCACATTGACCAGGAAATCAGAAAACAAAAATGGCTTGGCATTTGGGTGCTGTTTAAGTCTTGCTGAATGCTAATTATATGCCACTTTGAAAATGCCCAAGACAAGAAAGAAATAAAAGCACCTACAGAGTCTCACACCTGGAAATATTGCTACATTTTCTGTATAAATCATTTCAATTTTTCATCTATATATTTTTCTTTTAATTGTTAACTTTTACATATCTATTATTCCAAATGAGCTCTTTCCAAATTAGTTATGAAACACTGTATTTTTAAGGCCTACATAGAATTAAACCACCTAAATGGTCTATAGTCATTCACTGGATACCTTTTCCATGTTCCGACTATTTTAAATAAGCTGTGATCTTCCTTCATTTTATAATGATGTCTCTGTATGTCTTCATCAGGGGCTATTACCAAACTGCTTTCAAGTCCAGTAGCATGTCCACTACTTGTCCATGGACTCTACACTATCAGCCTTGAAGTCCTGTTCCCCTGTAAGAAAGCAACACATGCTTAAGGAAAGAACAACTTAGCTTAGGATCCAGGTACCAATACAGTGTTCTACAGGACTTAAGGAGAAATCTAACAAGCAGGGCTCATGCTAACAACTTAGAGTAAGCATGCTGGTGGGCTGGGGAATTTAAGGACAGCACATTTCTGATGCCATTCTTCTGAGGTGTGAATGAGCTAATTCTTCAACAAAATGTCTAGAAGAGCAGTTCATTTCCATGATACTACAAAGTTCTGCATATACTAATAGCGATGAGAACACTGGATCCACCTATTTCTCGCACTGGGAGCATTTCAAGTTGCAGAACTCATGGGCCAGGAGTCAATAGCTGAGCTTATGACCGTTCTGTGGGATGTTGGAAGACCCTGCCTGACTCACTGACTGCCGTGATTAATTGGAGGTGGTCCCCTTAGGCTTGCACTGTCACCCTTTCCTTGCAAATCAGTCACATTTGAAAAGGTGGCTCAAACTCTCTTTGACACAGAGAGTTCCCAGAAACGTGGAAAAACATCAACTTGGGACCTGAAAAAAAGAAAATTCTCTGAGCAAAGGACAATACTCAGGGTCAGGCTAGTCTTAATCAGCCACATTTGAGAACCAAAGTCAAAGTTATACAAGTTCCCCTCCTAGCACTTTCCTTTCTCAAGTTTTGCATAAACTTTATCTGCCCCACTTTCTTGTTGTGCTTTATAGCCAAGAACCATTATTACACCTAGGAATTCTGAGACTCTCTGTTCCAATCTAGCCTCGGTTTAGGCATCCAAGAAAACAGAGACTAAAATGCCAATTTTTTAATTTCCTAGGCATACTATCACCAAGTGCTACAAACTGAGTGCCTTAAGCAACAGAATTTATCTTACAGCTCTAGAGACTAGAAATCCAAGATCAGTGTTCAGCAGGTCAGGCTCCTTCCCAGGGTAGTGGAGGAGAATCCCTTCCATGCCTCGCTCCCAGCTCCTGAGAGACCCAGGCACAGCCGCATTTGTAGACTGTGTCTTCTTTACAGTGTCTTCCCTTCATGGCTGTCTTTCTCCAGACTTCTTTTTATGGAGGTCCTTGTCCTACTGGATTAAAAACTACCCTAACTATGTTATCTTGGTTACCTCGGTAAACATCTTATTTCTGAAGATTATATTCTGAGGTGGAGGGATTAGGACTTCAGAATAACTTTTTGAGGAGATAAAATTCCACCCACAGCAGCCAACTTCACAGCATTCTTATAAGGATTAAGTGTTGCAAGGTGCGTACTAAGCAAGTATTCTGTAGGTGATCAAAACACTTGTGCCCTCTTTTCCTTCTTTTACCTTTCCCCTTTGATTCTTCAGCCTCATCCTAAAACTTTTTTTCTCTCACTATCAATACGCTCTTCCTAATCATGCATTCCCTGCTCATCACTTTTCTTAGTACAGTCTGCAAGAATATGAAGGTCTAACAAAGTCCTGGGGACTTTTTACATGCTGAATAAATGTTCCATAGAAAAAGAATTACACTTTCATCCAAGCACTTTGCTACTTACATTTTCTAAGAATATGATTAAATATTCGTAGTGGAATAAATAAAAATGTAGTAGTATAATGATTATTAATTTAGAAACATTATGTTTGAGTCTACAGATTTGGAGACAAAAAATACTATGGTGTTTAAATATGCAGCGTCTTAAAAGGTAAATACATGTGTTGTTCTGTACAGGTCTGAATGCCAAACAGTCACTCAGTAAGAAGGGCTAATATTCATTATTCCTGGTGCTAAGTACTGGACATGCTTTCTCCAACTCTCTGTCAATACTTAGCTGAGCACGGTGGTGCACACCTATAATCCATCACACTGAGGGGTTAAGGCAGGAGGACTTCAAATTTGAGCCCTGCCTGGGAAGCTTAGCAACTCATTGAGATGCTATCTCAACATAAAATATAAAAAATAATAAAGGGCTAGAAACATATGGATGACAGTGTGAAGGTCGCAGGTTTAGTTCCTAACGCTACAAAGAAAATAAAAAGACACACGCTGCGGTATGACAAGACTGAGAGGTAAGTAGGGAAGGGTTCCATGTGAACACTGAGGAAGGAGGGGGAGGGATCCCTTTATATCCGGGAACATTTCCAGGAATCAGGGACTCCATCAGCCCAGTAAGAGGAGGAAGGAAGCCCCAAGACAGCCGTCAACAGCATGTGAAAACCAAAAGGAGAAAGGCAAATACTTTGTGTTCTGAGAATTCCTGGGTCCCCTCTGTTGAAGCAGGCATTACCTGAGCAGCATGAACAGCCCAGTACCCCAGGGGAGAGTTAAGCGGTGCTGACCAGTCTCAGAAGGCCATATGGACCTGTCGGGGAAGTCAGCTTTGTCCTCAGGATGAAGGAGACAACCAGAGAAACACCTCCATTTACTGGTTCACTGAAGCACTCATTTACACAAGTATCTCTGTTGCATAAAGTACTGTTTTAGTTTGGGGATGATAAAATAAGAAAAATCAGAGCCCTTGTCTTGCACAGATTAGAAATTGTATTTATGGTCTGACTTTTCACTTATTTCAAGTGAATTGTTCCTAAATCTCTAGGCTTTCAGTTGTTCCTTTGTAAAATGCCAGCATTAGATAAGATTGCTAATTTTTTTCCTGGGAAAGTCTTACAAATTCTGAAAAATAAACACAAAGTATACTTGATGCTAGAGACTTTATTTATAGTGCTTAAAACAAGAGTCTTGATGCTAAAGATACTGTGACTCAAAGTCAAGCTTCATTATTAATCATTTACAACTAATTACATCTTTCACCAAATCACTTAAATTTTTGCAAACCTCACTTATCTCATCTGTAAAGCAAAACTATCAAGTTCTACCTTGAGGGAATGTTGTAAGTATTCAATATGCAAATAATGTGAACTGCCTAGAGCAAAGATCAGCACATATAAATACTGAACGGTTAATTGATAGAATGCTCATATACTCGGATATATGTGTGCAATTTGTGTATATGTATATGTGCTTTATATGTGTATATGTTTACTGTATACATATAGAGCTTTCATATATATATCAAACATATAGTGTGTTCATATATATAAATAAGTGTTTGTGTGAGGCTATTACTGTCTAGGTTTTCTGATATGCATCAAGAGATCAAAATCATTTTCAGAGAGTATAATTTTTTTTTCCTCAAAGGGTACCTTAGCAAGTCTTGGCAATATATTAGAAAAAGCAAGTAATGATTCATAAATGTCTGATTACTCAACAAACACATGCAAATTTCCCAATTGGGAATTGGATTTGCTAGATGTATGTTTAAATTGATATTCTGGTATAATTTAATGTAAATGCTAATCTAATAAATATTAATCCAAGCCAAACATTAACTAATTTATACAATTTGACTTGCTAGAAAGAAGCAGTGACTGAGAATTGCTTAGCACACATGAAATATTTATATATCATGTGTTACCTAAAGATTTTAAAGCATTTGGTGCTCTTATGCTCTCCTTTCAACTAAAAACATGTTGAAAGTATTGTGTGTGTGTAACAGACAAGAAAGAGAGAAGTATTCTCACTGGTATCCTTTAGCCGCCCAACCTCAGATCTCTCTTCTGCCAATATAGGACATAAATTCAAATCATATCTTCAACAACTTGTTGATATTTGTTCCAAACCTTAGACCATCTTGTTGCATGATAGAAGAACGCCAACTCTTTCTTATAATCTTAACATATCAAGAAGAAAACAGGAAGAATTCTTGCATTGATTGTCCATAAAGGAGCTTTTACATTGCAGCATGACTTCATGCATAACTAATTACAAGAATGGATTTCTTGTAGCAAACCCTCCTTAGACAACATTTAAAGTTTTGAGCAAGCCGCTATGTCAAAAAATAGAAATAATTTAGTCAAATTGGTACTATGTGCCGGTAGTGTTTAAGATAATAGTGTTTAAGTCAATGAATCATTGGGGAGAAGTGTCACCATCATGAAGTTTTAACTCATGAGTTTAGGTCATGCTAACTAAAGACCGAAAGCTCATCAGAAGGTACAAATACTCCAGGAATAGGACCGGTCCTTAGAACTAGAGTCCACTGACAGCCCTCCAAGTAACCCCTGGCAAGTGCCCCAGTTTGGTGTGAGATCCGCCAACAGGGCAATGCCTTCCACTAGCATTGTTTTCAGGTTGTAAAAGGAAAGAGCACGCAGTGGAGAACATGAAAAACAGGAGAAAAAATTCTCAGGTATGTTTTGATAATGTTTTGCTGCATGGCATGATAAAAGCCTCAAAACCATCCATAAATTTCACTTGATATTTATTACAGTCACTGGTGCCCATGACACAGACAAGTAGTCATCTTTTTTCAGGCACACAGAAGACTGAATTTCCTGGCTAAGGCAATATATTAGTTTCACGGAGCTGCTATAACAAAGTACCACAGATTGGAGTCTTAAGATAAGTCCTGTGTTTGGTCTCTCAGCTCTGGAGGCAGTAAAAACTCGAGATGCTTGCAGACCTTGCTCTTTTTAAAACATTTAGAATGGAATGCTGTTTCCTAGCTATGGGCATTTTGAATGGCACTGGAATGTCTTCCAATGACATTAGAATCCCAAGAATCTTGGGCTTGCAGATACAGCCCCACAAGTTACCTCTCATCACACTCATCAAACTTGCCTCCCCTCTCCATCTATGCCTATGGCTTTCTCCTTCTTATAAGAACCCCATTTGTACTGGAATAAGGTCCACCCTAATGAACATTAGCTCACCATAACTAGATTACGTTTTCCAGGACCTTACTTGTAAATAAGGTAATCCTAGAGGTACTTGTGGTGATTAGAGCAGCAATAGATCTTTTTGGAGGAGGTAAAATTCACTTCACAACAGTCCAGGTGAATGGTTCTGGCCACTAAAGATGAGCAGAAATGATATGCCAGCATATAATAATTATTGTTCAAGACCTATTAGTCTTTCTCTCTGCGTATTTCCTTCCAGTATTCTAAGTGGTGGTTATCTTGCTACCCCTAGTTAGGTAGTGAGAACTATACAGAACTGCTTCCTAACAGATGTGCAAGATGAATTTGTAGTGTCTTAAGCTACTGCAGTTTGGAACTTATTATAGCATAGTTAACCTACCTGACTGTTACACTTCTAGGGTAGGAGTCTTGGGTTCAGGAAGTGAGAAGAAAACCTGACCAAACAAACACAGAGACACTCAGGTTAATCTAATTAAAAGGAGCCAAAATTTGAACAGGGAAAGTATAAGAAGTACTGTCCTTGGAGAAATTTTAAATCAAACATCTGAGCAGAACAAATGAAAGAATCAATTTGGATGAGGTTTAGTTTCTTTCTGCTTGTAATGGGAAAAGTACCCTGTTACTGAGGCTACACAGAAATCTGGGCCCCTTTATTATCACCATACCCCCCCATAAAGCAAATACCACTTACAGGTACACTCTTCCACCTGGCTCCTGAGAGACAGTCCCTGCATCCTGCAAATTTATTGAGTCGACATATGGCCAGGAAATTCCAGCAGCAGGAAGTCCATGAAAAAAATGAAGAAAGGAACAGAAAGAACCATAGTATTGTAAACAAAAAAAGATTAATCATAGCAAGGATAGCAATGAAGAATCTGGGATATCATGTGTGGAAATTTGAAAGCATAAATAAGGCTTTCACAAATGATCTTAAAGGAATGCAAGAAGGAAGTGCTGGCAGGATAAAGATGAAAAACTATTTCAGTATCAAAGAGCATCTGTGTATTGTTGGCTATTTTATAAAAAAGCTTTTATCAGACATCAGGTGTGTTAGGGAGAGACTGGTTAGGTTTTACAGCCACTAAGAAACATTTTGGGTAGATTCATGGGAAACAGACTGTTTATTGGCTTTCTGTCATTATCACAAATATCTGAGACAATCAACTTACATTTTGGTGCATGTTGCTTTGGGCCTGTGATGGAATGTGGTGGCAGAAGTTAGTGGCAAACAGAATCCATCCCCTTCACAGTCAGAAAGCTGGAGAAAGCAGAAGAGAGAAGGGGACAACATCACAATTTCCTTGTCCAAAGACTTCCCACTATACCTCACATCCTAAAAGTTAACTGCCTCCCAATAAAACCACTCTGGGGGCCAAGTTTTATCACCTGGATATTAGGGGACACTTAAAATCCAAACTATAGCAGATTTTGGGATGCATAATACCTGCAGAATTTATTAGGTGGAGGAATCTTAAAGAGGAATTTTAAAGAGGACTAGCTCTGTAGTCAGAGCATTAGAGAGTCTGTAGATTATAATATTTAGCCAAATGGTATAGGTCTGACTGCATGATCTGGGATATCGTGTATATTAGGCAGCCTCTGAATGGCCCCAGTGAGTCCTTCCACTTGGAATTCATGCCTTTTTCCTCCTCTCCCTGTAAACAGAATAAAATAAAAAGCTGTAAGGTAATGGGATGCACTGATGAGATTAGGTCACGAAAAGACTGTAGCTTCCAAAAGCTGAAGTCTAGAGGGATACTGAAGCTTAAAAATACTAAGATCTCAAAATCATTTTCATAATTTTTAGGTTCTTCCCTCTCTCATCTCTCAGCTTGTTCTTTAGACTGGCTTCCAATATGACAAGCTAATGGGCCAGAGTAATTTAAATCCTAGGCCCACATAGCTCAGTTCCAATTTGGGACCTATCAATTTGACAATGGGAAATCCCATAACTAGCTGAGTTAAATATGGTTCCTTCAACCAGTCACACAGTGAAGATGTTAATGGTTGGCATTAGCCCTGAGGAATGTAAATGGGGTCAATCTCATTATGCCCCTTGATTACTGCTAAAGGAGGAAAAAAATGAGTTGGATAGTGGGAAGACCATGTCAACACAGGAAGCTACTACTATAGTCCAAATACAAGGTTAGAGGATTTGCACTATGGAAATTAGTAGCAGCCAATATGATTGGTTGAAAACAAAAGAATGTTTATGGGTCAGTGTGACAGTTTGTAAGGTTATAGAAACACAGCAACATCTGGTCCCCAAGTGGATGGAATAGCTGAGAGGGAGAGAGAAATGGAAAGTTCAAGATAAGCCAACGAGAAAGAATTATTCTTATGAAATTAAAAATCTGAGAATATACAGTTTGAGTGAAATCAACAAGATGGAGTAGGTATTCTCTAACTTTGCTCTTCTACCTTACACACATAAATCCAGCCAGGAACCACCTAGCAGACGTGAAGGCCATTGTAAATATCCACAAGCTTGGAACTAGACTGAGACACACACTTGGGCCACAGGATCAGGAAAATCCATGGCTGAACATGAAGAGAAATGGTTCCCCTTGACAGTACTATCCTTTCCCCAAGCTGGGGTCACCCAGAGAATTTCTCAGAGCCTAGTTCTACAGTGGGAAAAGGGAGTTGGGGGAACTCATTCAGCTTCTCCACCATTCTGGGGGACTCTCCTGCTCCATCCTGGGGGGAACACTGGAAATACAGGGAAGAAACAAAACTGGCCAATAGGGACAAGAAAAATGCTCAGCACCACTCTTTAAGGAAATGCAAATTGAAAGGACAGATATATTTCATCTCATACCTTTTAGTATGAATTCTATCAAAAAGATGGAAGAAAGGGTTGGAGATGATGCAGTGAAGAAGAAACTCACATACGGTGAGAGGCAATGTAAGTTATGCCATTAAGAAAAGCGGAATAGAGTTCTCCCCCCGCTCAAAAAACCTAAAAATAAAACCACTGTGCAGTCCATTAATTTTACCTCTTAACAGATATCCAAAGGAACTGCAATAAATGTGTTAAAGAAAGGGCACGATGCCTCTGTTCAGTGCAGCAGTAACCAAACAGCCAAGATACTACATTAACCTCAGTGTCTGTCATGCCCACCATTGACGAATACATAAAAATATGTGGTGAAAACCTACAAGGAAATGCTATTCAGCTTTTTAAAAGAATGGAGTCCTATAATTTTGTAGAAACATGAATGATATCATGCTAATTGAAATTAGCCTGGAACAGATAAATATCTGATCTCATTCATATGTGGAGTCTAATAAAGTAAAGGAACTTCAACTTTATTATATAGAAGGAGCAAATAAATGAACAAATTTAGAAGGAACAAATAAAAAATTGATTATAGGAAGAAGAGAATGAGGAGGGAGAGAGAATGGAGAATTCTTGACCAAAATGTATACATTTCAGATAGGAGAAATAGCTGTCAAGATTTATGGCACATCGGGGATACCATAGATAAAAATAGTATATACTTCAGAATAACTGAAAGATTCAATTGCAAGTGGCTCATAATTTAATATTATAGGTAAACAAAATAATTGATATCATACTTAATTTGATTTATTCATGCCACTATATATATATGCATATTTGTACCCAAATGCATGTAATTATGATTTGTCAATTGAAAATAACATTACTATTAAATTTTAAGTAAAGGCAAACTAAAGCATAATAATTAGCTGTCTACCAAGTGTCAGCCAAGTGCCAAACAGCAAGTCATTCTCTCCTGCTCTCCTGCTGTGCCAGTTTTATGTACCATTAGAACTCGGTGGGCTTTTTCAAGATTTTATATCCTGTCTTCCCTCTGCCTTCCATGTTTTTCATAGTTTTTTGAGCTGTGAATTATTTCCCTTATCATTGCATCTAAAGTAGGCTCCCCTAAATCATCTAAAACAATTCCTTACTGACTAGGAAATAACACTGGAAAATATATTTTGTTTTCTTGATCACTATCTATCTCACAGACAAAAACAAGAGTTCTCCTAAAGCAATGTAATTTATGTTTTTCACCACATGTATGACAGTTGAATCATACAGCAGGAGTGCAAAAATATTTTTGAATGAGTGTGTGAGTCAATGAATTGATGGGACCAACAAGCAGCAAGATAAAGCCCTAGCCCCGGCCCTTCCAGAGCTTACATTACACTGGAAGCAAAATAAACATAAAGACCACAGGATACAGTGTTAAGAGCTGGCTACATGGTGTATTTAATGCCACTCAAAATCCTTCTATGCTGAAAATTTGCACCAATATTCCACTTGCTAAAATAAATAAAAAGGCAAAGTATATGAGTAGATTTTGTGGAACCTAAAATCAAAATCCTGAGCAATCCAGGGCCCTTTGTACTTTCACTTCCTGTTGAGAGCACTTTCTCTTCAGCTTCTGAGTTTTACCTGCTGACTGTTGATTTGACTTTGATCCCAGCTCCTGTCTCCAGTTTACAGGGAAGCACAGCCTTAGCTGTTCAGAACAAACAGGACTTTGTAGAAGACATGCCGCATGCTGCAACACTGTCACGCCAGATTCTGCGTGGGGAACAGATTTCTCTGCATGTAAATAACAATAGGTCTCTAAGTGTCCAGCCCCAATCTACAGGAGAATTTTAAAAATTAGTGACTTGTGAGTCACTTCAATTGACAAAGACGTAAAATGGAAGGCAAGTCTAAGTGGGGATCAGAAGGCTCAGATTGTCTCACTAAAAACATTGTCTTCCAAAATAGGCATGAATATGCCCAAGTAACAGAAGAACACCGTGACCACAGTTTAGTCCCTGTCCACATATATGCAGGTAACAGCCACTGGTATCACATTTCTAAAGGGTTCTTTCTTATTCCGAAGTCCATGTGCTCCCTTACAGTGTGGGAAAATGTACTGATCACTGGCTTCTTCAACCATGTATGGTGCCTGAAAATCATATAAAAAGTTCTACACCCTTGTGGCAGGCAATTCATATGAGGGCATGGTGAAGGGAGCTGTTTGACTGACAGCTGTCCATCTCTGGGGAAAATGGCAAGGCTAACACTGGGGAATCTTGGGAAGAGTCCCCTGTGCTAATCATACCGATTGGTTTGGGAAGGCTGGGAATGATAATAATGGGCCCAGATTCCTCTGCCCTTGACCTTAGGGGCTCCCCTCCTTCCAAAAGGCTGGAGTGGGTGAGGGGAAGGTGACTGACAGCCCAGCTGCACTCCTGTCAGGGGGAGAGCAGTTGCCAAATAACCATGAAGGCAAGTTGTGAAGATTCATTTGAGTGGGACTAACCTAGGCAAGTTGTCCCAGTCCACTAGGAGCCAGAGGGGTGTGGAAAGCAAAAGGAAGTTAGAGGGAGGGGTGTAACACTGTAGGCCTAACCACACCCCCAGCACTGGAGAAACCAAGGGTCAAGCATTTTTCTTCTG